TTAATTGTTCCATTAACATGCAAAATATATATTTTTTCGTAACTGCTGATACAATGACGTGACTGATTTTGTAAGAAACAGTCAGTTATAAGCAAGAATATATTTCACAGACCATAGTTCTCATTGCTATTGTAAAAGCATATAAAAACATGAAGGCCAACCGAGCAACAGATCGACTTTGAGTTACACTGGCACCTGCAGAATCGTTGTTTCTTTTTCTTAAGTAGCACCTCTAGTCAGTGGCGTGAGTCAGAAGCGTTCGATGGTTTCACCTTAGTTATGTTTTTTTTCTTTTTCTTATCTCAATAAAAAATGGCTGAGCTCGTAGTTAAAACATGCTTCTTTGACACAAGCATTTTTCTGAACATAAAGTTGGTGATCTTTGCAATGTCGTGGTCTTTTTACAGCATATGAATGAAGGTTGAAGGGGGTCAAAATAACCAAGCAGAACTGATATGGTCTGAATACACGGGGAACTGTCAATTCATTGAGGGGAAGAAAAAAAGTTTTTTTTCCAGCTATACTGCAGATTGGTCTGATGTTCTTCAGGTATCACATGGCATACTTTTGAGTCCATTCCCGAGCTATTCTGTTGTACCTGTGTGAGAGAAAGAGAAAGAAAGAGAAATTAAGTGTGGCATTGGCGCAAACGCTGTTGCAGAGGCAGTGTCACACATGCTGGGTAAGCGGACCGTCTGCCAACTTGGCTCACGCCAACAGAAACTGCAGAAACGTCTCAAGGTCAAACACAGTGGCATCCTCTTCATGTCTACACTGCAACTCCAAACATTACTTCTGGTGTTTACTTTGGTGATAGTAAAAGCCTGAACTGTTTACCTCAACTAAACATTTGTCATTAAACCTATGATAAAACCATACAAAAAAAACAAAACATAAATGGGCTATAACTGGCTGGTATGTGTGAGAGCCACAGAAATTCTATAGCATTTTTCCAGTGGACTTTTCATAGAAACGAAGTCATGGAAATGAATTAAATCACAACCAAATTAATAATGCAGAAATAAAGATTTTGCAGGAAAAACACATTTTTTGAGTTATGAATCACACCAGCTTATGTGCAAACATGTCCCATGCACAATATTGTTTTTAGCAAACAGAAAAAAAAAAATCTAAATAAAATGACTTTTTTACCAGTTATACACTACCTTTCAAAAAATTTGGGGTCAGTGAGATTTTATGTTTTGAGAGAAGTCTATTATGCTTGGTAAGACTGCATTTATTTCTGAATGATAGTGTTTTTCTCATGTATAATACAATTTTAAAAAGCTGCATCCATTAATAACATTAGTGCATCCAGTAGTAGGAATGCCAACCAGTGACCAACAGTACTGCAACCTGGTGATGTCTAGAGATTAGTAAACCTTTCATGCTCACACAAAGACACTCTCCCATGATGCCTTGCTCACCTTAACCCCTATAACATGGCATATTTCTCTGTCCATTCCCTGGCAAGTTTATTATACCTAAGAGGAGCAATTCACACTACGTAAAAGGTATCTCTATTATTCACACCAGCTAAAGAATAATCAGCCTAGATTAAAACTTTAGAACTGTCTTTGTTGTTTTTTTAATATATAATTTTAAACATTTTATTTTTGAGGATTAAGACACAAATATACTTACTTTTCATTGTCTGTTTTATAGATACGTGCTATCTCTGGCACTAATGGATCATCTGGGTTTGGATCACATAACAGTGAGCAGATGGACAATAGAACTGCAACAGAAAGAAGAGAGAGGTTGGCACATGGCATAAACATTATCAGTGCACATCTTGGCGATCCCATAAAATGACTTTTAAGAAAAAGGTACATTCAATGCGCTTCTTTTCTGTTGGCTCACCTTTAGAGATAGTTAACGCAGGAGACCACTGCGACCTTAGAATATCCAAACAGATGCTGCCATTACTGTTAATATTTGGGTGATAAATTCTTGTGGTGAATGCAACCTATAAATTAGAGGGTGAAACAGACGATCAGACCACATACATTTCAAACCTACCACTGATATTTTACTGCACATCTTCAGAATATCAGCAGGTTTCGGTTGTGGCGTCTGACTACAGTATGTGCAAAAAAACTGCTGGGAATGCAAAATATCATGAAACAATCTCAATCTTACAACCAGAATAACCCGTAGGTTGTTTAAATAGTTCATTATTCTTGCCTTAGGTGGTTTGAAAGGGTAGTCTGTAGGAAAATGAATGGTCAAGAAAAACACACCCCCTTGATATGGACTGTCATTCTGTAAGGAAACGACAGAGCAAAATTACTTGATAATGCAGTAGTAAAACAACATCACATGCAAATAAATGTCACAATTCATCATTAATATGCATATGCAAATAAGAACATATATCCACTTACAGGTCCCATAATTGTTGCTTGCCAGTGAAACACTGCACATAAAGAATAAGAAACGTCTCATTAAGTTGAGTTCAGTGACATGCTCTGAGGCAGGTAATGAAAATAAAGAGCAAAATAACTCACAGTCATCTCCAACCGGTCCTGCTGAGCACTGTGCTGGAGGGTCCCGGCCCAGATCAGTCAGTTCCTAGAGAGAGAGAGGATGCATCAGTAGTGCACAGAATTTTTCAAAATAAATTCTGGGCATCCAATCAACTATGTCATCTTTCATCCATCCGTACAGTTTCTATACATTTCATTCTTGAAACAAAACATCAAAATGAAAAACTCTTTGCATTGCTTCTATAATCTTTTTTCGATATATCTTAATATATAAAAAGATTTTAGCTACAGACAAAAAATGGCATACAAATTATTGACAGAATTATATAAAGCTAGTTGGCGTGAAATTACTTTTGGAATCAGATATATCCTGCATTGTGACATGTTATACTCAACTAAAACTATTTTAAAGGGAATTCTGTCTTAAAAATTATCATGTGCTTTTATAATTCTTTTACATGCAGTTTCATAACCTTCTATTATTTGAGAGACTACTTGGAACTTGCCAAAAAATGACAACATTTTGTGTCACATCACTGGGCCATTTGAAACCTTGTATAACCAATTTTTCTTGAATAACTAATAAACTGCTTGGTTTTAAGCAATGTATATAAGCAATACACAAGACTATGGAAGCTTGTTTCTTGCTTTAAAATAATAAAGAAATAAAAAGGTAACTGTTACCTTTTAATTGTTTTTTTCAACTCCAAGTTTATACATCACAATTCAGAATTTCAAGATTTAAAATCTGAATTGCAAAATTCTGTGAGATATAATTGCATTTATATAATTATATACATAATTATTAATTGTATAATTATAAATAATAATTATGTATATAAATAAATTAAATTATATTTGTATAATTATAAATATATAATTGATATAAATAATTGTGAGACAAACTCAGAACTCTTACATTTGCTATTTTGTGGTGGGAAAAAAACAGAATTGTGAGATGTAAACTCAAAATGTAGAGAAAAGTGTCAAAATTGTGAGATGTAAACCTAGAATTCAGGGGGGAAAGGACAGAATTGCAAGATATAAGCTCAGAACTGCGTAATATAAACTACACACTCATATATACATACACACACACAGACATATATATATATATATATATATATATATATATATATAAACACAACATTCTAAGACATATATATATATATATATATATATATATATATATATATTTAAGCAGGATTCTATACAAGAAACACTTAGTACAAACATTCAGTCATCATGGTGGGTATCGAACAGCTGGTTCATAATGTTATGTAGAAAATGACTAATTTAAAAATGTAGGTTTTTACAATAAGTCTTATGCCACTATCAGGGCATGAGTGAGACATGACACCAGTTATAATGCCCCAGTTGTACCATACTCTGATGGATAGACTTTTAATTTGCTGGATGAGCAATCTGATTTTGACTTCAAGTACATTATCAGTCATTGTGTCATTTAACTGGTTCTATTAAAATCCACATTTAGACACTCAAGAGGTCTCTGTAGGAAATAGACTTGATGAGCCCTTTTATTTTAATCCAGATTTTACACTGATGCATTCATCTCCCAGACAGACAACGCAATTTATGAACTGCTACAAGATGGCTCGTCTGTCCCAGAGGCCCAAACTGTTGATTCTGGAGAACAATCAAAGCAGAGACTCATGTCATCAGGATTAGATGGGAACAGTGGACAGATTATCCTATAATTTCACTCACTCTCACCCTCACTGATCTGAATAATGACAGCTTTCTCCTCCCTGGAAAAACCACAGGCAGGAAACGACAGTATACTGTCATCTTCTTAATGCATCTTTATGAAGAACATCATCAGAGGTTGATTGAGCAATCAATTAACCAACTGAAGTTATTGTGCTAACTCAGCCAAACAACAACCAATATCTAATGAAAAATAGCATTAGTGGAGGATTTCCAAAGACTACTACCCAATAAATGGTATTCACAAAGTAATTTAATATCACTCATTCAATGATATGTAGCTAACAGTTAGACAAATTACAAGTATTTAGACTACAGTTCCAAAGTTTAGGGTCATTAAGAATTTTTTTTTTAAAGAAATGAATACTTTCATTTAGCATTGATGCATTAAATTGATGACATTTAAAATGTTACAAAATATTTATTTTTCAAATAAATGCTGTTCTATTGAATATCAAGGAATCCTGAAAAATGTATTATGGTTTTCAGAAAAATATTAAGCAGCAACACCGATAATAATTATAAATGTTTCTTAAGCAGCAAATCACTATATTAGAATGATTTCTGAAGAATCGTGTTACACTGAAGACTGCTGAAAATTCAGCTTTGCCATCACAGGAATAAATACAATTTTAAAATATATTAAAATACAAAAGAGTTATTTTAAATTGTAAGAATCATTTCACAACATTATGGTTTTACGGTTTGTTTTTTTGATAAAATAAATGCAGCCCTGACACTTCCTTATACAACTTAAATGTTATTTTAGTGGTATTTTTATTATGATTAATAATACTAATAAAATATTAATCATGCATATTAGCATAATGCTGATTACATTGTTGTTGCCTAGCAATCACTACTGTCAAAAAAGAAATATCCCAAAATAATCTTAATAATCTTTATC